AATCCTCAACCCTAAGCCCTACAACACTACACTCCTGCTGGCTAGGTAAGGAGCGCTCAGCTGAGACCATGCGCAGCGAAGCCTTTCTCCTTGCGGAACCTGGCCATCTCTAAACCCCTAGGTCTCTAGAGTTCAGGGTTTATTGTTTGGGGTTTAGGGTTTAGGGTTTAGGCTTTATTGTTTGGGGTTTAGGGTTTAGGGCTTAAATCTCTAAACCCCTAGGGTCTCTGTCATTTAGGGTTAAGGTTTAAGGGGTCCATGTACCCAAAAACTAGGTCCCTTAGAATGGATGCAATATTGATATAGGGATATGAGCAGCCAGGGTTAAGGGTGTTAGGTCATGTACACAAAATTAACTTTGGTCAGACTAGTTGTAGTACAGGTTTTGGGGTAACCATATGACTGTTCAAAACTGGGACCCTTAGGTAAACATCAGAGTCCCCTGTATAGGGCTCTAAGTTAACTACTAAATTACAAGGATTGCTGCAGCAAAACCGCAGCAAAGCACCAATTTTGGGACACCCCCGCCTGGCTCGGGATGCCCAAAAGAGCAAGCAGGTTGGCTTCCGTGCCGGCCCTGCGTTCACTCGATAACATCAGCTGCGCCTCTAAGTCCAGCACCGCGACAGCTGCACCACAGACCCAGAAGTCTTTCATGAGAAGCATGTCCGATGGCCTCCAAAACTTGTGTGCTTAACCCTAAATGGGGGTTGCCCAAAATGTTGGATAGTTACCTGTTTGGGGATCCCAATAATAAGGACTAAGGACTATGATCTTTTGGGGTTTTTATTGGAGTCCCACTATGTATGGAAAGTACTAAAACCTAAACCCTACACCCCAAACCCTTCCCAAATGGCCTCCAGAACTTGTGCGCGGCTCCTGCCAAAGGGACTGCATCCCCATAACCCTAGGGTTTAGGGTTTTGGGGTTTAGGGTTTTAGGGTTTAGGGTGTAGGGTTTACAGTTTAAACCCTAAACCCTTAACCCTCAAGCCCATGTATAAACTTACCATTACTGAGGATCCACAAATCTCCTTTTTTTTTTGAAATCTCAAAATTTCAAGAACCCAATCCCGCCCCAAACCCTAAGTACTGATAATATGGTAATTAACCCTAAACCCTAAACCCTAATCCTAAACCCTAACACCCCTAAACCCAACCCTAGCCTATATACCTCTTTTTGTGTGCGGCTCCTGCCCAAGGGACTGCATCCAGCCACTCCCGTGGAGCTCGGGCAGCCGGAATCCAGCGGCAAACGCGGAGCTTGCACTTCAACGTCTCCACCTGCTAGGTCGATTTAGGGTTTAGGGATTTAGGGTTTAGGGGTTAGGGGTTTAGGGTTTAGGGGTTTAGGGGTTTAGGGGTTTAGGGTTTAGGGGGGAGTATATAGGCAGATTTATAGAGAGTTATGTAGGGATATATGG